GTTGATTTTGCTAAAAAAAACTTACCATTAGTCCTTTCTTCACGTTTTCTTTTTACATCTTCAAATAACGACTCAATTGTATTAAATGTACATAATTTCGTTTTTAATCTACACGATATTAGTCTTCGCATCATTTGATCTATAGTTTGATCTATATCGGGAGCTACAAGATTTCGGTCTTGTGCCATACCTAAGCTACGCTTAGAAATAAACATTTGAGACTTTCGACGGGGTGAACTGGTTAGCAAGCTTGTCACGCTCGATCAATCACGACTAAGTAGTGAGTCTGATCGTCACTAGGTGCTCAAATTTTTGGCCTTGTGCCACATCCTGCCTAAAAACATTTGTTCAGTTCGACGTGGTGTAATGGTTAGCAAGCTTGTCTAGTTCGATCCTCACTACATGCCTCATACTTTCGGCCTTGTACCACATCTAAGACGAGGTGCGGTGGGGTAATGGTTAGCGGCTCGGATTGAGGAATCGGAGAGCCGAGTTCGAATTCCAGTCAAATCCGTTACATTCACTTACGTGCTAATACTCTTGGGAGTGGCATGAATCTTCATCTTCTCCCCCACCCCCAGCTATGGGTAAATAGCAGGATAGACCAGGCTCTATAACTAGTCTACGGCAGAAAGAAATGGCAACCTACTGCAGGTAAATATCTGCCTCGTCAATCATGTATCGAAAGATACATGATCGCCTAAACTTGTATCACGCATGGCATATAACTGACTGACTGACTTTCCAGTCGGATCCATTACGTTCACTTACGTTCTAATACCATTGGGAAAGGTATGTATCCTCTTCTTCTCCCCCCCCAGCTATGGGTAAATAGCAGAACAGACTGGGTTCTAAAGCCTTGGACGGCAACTGGTCTACTACAGAAAGAAATGGCAATCTACTGAAATTTTGGATTCCCAAGTTTTCATTACGCCGATTGTTTTCGGTGATTTTTTAAGTGATTTTTTGCGACAAATTGTTTTGTACGATAACAATTTTTACTACTTGGAAATAAATTTGGGAATAATCAAAATTAATTGCGAAATCCAGCGAAAGTCACCCATGAAATCAAAATTATCTTTTGTACGCAAAGTAAGGACCTACGTACATCAAATCGTCTTTAAATGTAGTGACAGAAGAAATATCGTTGAACTTTTAAAAGGTGAGCTTAAATATTAATGCATTAATTTAAAACAGCGATCAATTTTGAGTTCTTCTGTAGTTTATTGTTTCCTATCGTATCTACTCCTCCTTAGCTATTGCGATGAAGACCCAATCAAGAATTACCGCAGGAGTTAGGTTAAATGCCGCCCAAGAGGTCGGCATTTAAGTTAGTTTTCAATATTTCTAGTCGAATTGCTCATTAATATTGCATATGATCCATTATTCTACATAATTAATTTACAAGAAAATTCTATATTTTTTATGAATACTACCTTATGAAAACTGAGATGTATTACTGAGGGTCCCATATCATTGATTCGGCGATATAGCTAAAGACCGTTGCACTAACAGGCAAGGCTGAAGAGTACATTTGCGTTACAATTTAACCCATAGCTGGGGAGAGATAAGGTGGATTTGTACATTTTTCAAGATTATCTACGCGAAAGTGAATATAAAATACTCAAACTCGCAATTAATATGATAACAATTTTGATTGCAGTTTCCTGTTATCTAAATGGGTAGACATTTTATTTTTGTAGTTTTTATGTCAGTGTGAAGAGAACAGAAATGAAGAGCTTAAGGTGGTAGCAGTCTGAGAAGCATTGACTCGGGAGACTGTTCAAGAATGAATAAGATGAGTGGATCTACTTCCTCGTCGATGGAATACGAAGGGAATGAGGATGATTCCACTCGATGTAGGTGGCCTCGAACGGATCCGTACACAAGGAACTGGCTTGTCACATTCAATAACGCCAAAAAACATGTTAGTAACTAAATCTCAAAATCTCTGAATCCGCATTGAGGTAAAGGAAAACATCACGTGGCAAAGTGGAAGAATAATTACCCAATCTAAAGATAAGAGTTAAGTCGGCAAGCCCAAAATCAGTAGACGGGCTCACTACAAAAGGATTCCTTTTTTGCTACTGTACTGTACTGTACTGATGCGGCATTCACCCTGGGCGGATTGAGCCGGCTTCTTCCTGTTGTGAGAAGAAGATTTTTGGGATAAATTACAGAAGTAGGGTACCCAGGCCTACTCGGATAACGTTCTTGCTTGCCGCGAGGTTCCCACAGACGCAGAGACAGGAACGATGCATACGCTCCTTGGATTTTCACCAGAGCCCTTGTTAGCCGGCGTGTGTGTCAGACCTGTCCGCCTTGGGTGGCCCTACCAGGAATGAAGTTCCGGGCGGCATAGCTCTGACACTACCGTTTACACCCCCCCACCGACTGTGAGGTAAGGGTTGGACTTTGGGGGCTTACAGTACCAGGTGTTCCCAAGCGGTTCCCCATCTAAGTACTGACCTGGCTCTACGATGTTTAACTTCGGTGATCGTACGAGAACCGGTGTTTCAGCGTGATTTGACCGTAAGCCTATTCCTTTTTTGCTACCGGCAACTTCAATATTCCTGTCGCCAATAGTGTATCCCATCTGTGTGTGTGTTTGTATGTGTATAAATCGATGGATAAACTGTGGTCTAAATGAAAATAACACTGATATCTCATTTTATATATATATATATATATATATATATATATATATATATATATATATATCTACCAAAATTGTATGAAGATATCTTGATGCCATGACTGTTCTCCTGCTTGTGTGGCATTGCGCAGAGTCCTGTTGCGTGATATAGAATCTTCAAGTAGCCACGCTCTTGACCTATGGCTCACTACAAAAGAATTATAACAATTTTTATTTACATTTTACTGTTATGTAGATGAGTAGACATTTTGAAAGGGGTTTCCGGATAAAAAAAAAATTAATTAAAATCCACCAATTTTCCCCAGACTTTCTAAATAATCCTCAGTAGAGACAACTCAACCCAGCTAAGAATAATATTGCAAAAATTAGTAAATGCATTCTCGCAAGAGCAAGAAAATATACGAGAAATGGTTTATGAATTTTATTTTTGTAGTTAGGAGTACGTAAGTGAGTGTATATGTGTCTTATATATGTGTATATATTATTATTATTATTTATATTCTCTTATTTTGATTTATTATTTGTTTTCTTGTTTATTTACTTATTTATTTAACTGTTTATTTACTTTACCACACACACACCGCTGTAAGTAAAATGAACCGCTATTCTATCATTATCGTATGGAATATATATAAATATATCAATACTTAAAATATGCAACGGCCAGTTTTCAATCAACACCTGCAGATTGCGTTGTGCATGAAACTCAGTGTTATGCTACTTGAGAGGAAAAATGTATATTTAATATTAATATTAATATTATATTTATATATAATTACATATATATTATTCTTAATATATTATATATTATTCTTAATATATAATATATATATATATATTAATAATATATATATATTAATAATATATATTATAATATATATATATATATATATATATATATATATATATATATATATATATATATATATATGCTCAGACGGACACAAGACACAACCTTCAGTATAAAGAAAGAGTTTATTACACATGCGTAATGATAGAGCTGAAAGAAAAATACAAATACATATTAAAATTAGATCGATAGGGATTAATAGATTTAGATAGATAGATAGATAGATAGATAGATAGATAGATAGATAGATAGATAGATAAAAAAGAAAGGGCTATTATATATATAATGGAAATGTATTGATAATGATTTTACTATAGGAATGCATTGAAAATCAGGAAGATATGGATTGTCAGTGGTCAGGAATGAATGCAAGTATTATTGATAGAATAGGGCTATTATATGCATAATGTAAATCCATTGCTAATGATTTTACTATAGGAATTCATTGAAAATCAGGAAGAAAGGGATTGTCAGTGGTCAGGAATGAAGGCAAGCATTACTGATAGAATAGGGCTATTATATGTAGAATGTAAATGCATTGCTAATGATTTTACTATAGGAATTCATTGAAAATCAGGAAGAAAGGGATGGTCAGTGGTGAGGAATGAAGGCAAGCATTACTGATAGAATAGGCTATTATATGTAGAATGTAAATGCATTGCTAATGATTTTACTATAGGAATGCATTTGAAAATCAGTGGGAATGAAATTACTGATAGGATTGTAAAGTGGTATAGGAATTTGAAGGAAAGGATTACTGATGGAATAGCAAGCATTACTGATAGAATATGTATAATGGAATGTAAATGCATTGTTAATGATTTTACTATAGGAATGCATTGAAAATCAGGAAGAAAGGGATTGTCAGTGGTCAGGAATGAAGGAAAGCATTACTGATGGAATATAATCATTGGTGATAAAATAGCAATGCATTTTAATGATTTTTACCTATCGAATTCATTGAAAATCAGGAAGAAAGGGATTGTCAGTGGACTGGGATGAAGAACAATTACTGATAGAATAGGGCTATTATATGTATAATGGAAATCATTCTAATGATTTTACTATAGGAATGCATTGGAAATCAGGAGGAAAAAGGGATAGTCAATTTCCAGGTACTGATATAATCAAATAAAATAGATGTATTTTATGCGAAATATGAAAGCATTGAAAATCAAAAAGAAATAGATTGTCGGCGGTTTGGAATTAATGTCATCATTCCTGATAGAAAAGTCTTTTATAGGAACAATTATGAATGTATTGCTAATGATTTTATTATAGGAATGCATTGGAAGTGAAAGTTAGGAACAAATTGATTGACAGATGTTGTGAATGAAAGGAAGCCTTACTTATAGAATCATTACTTTGCTTATTGTCATCGCTTTCCAATCGGACTTAAAACCAACTAAATCTTTTTTCGTATTTTCCATTCCAGGAGGCATCAATACGTTGAGACGGTGTGATCCAAACAATATTGTCCAGTGTTTGCAGCCAATGCACAAACATGTCTCAGAAATGGGTGGCCTTGGAGAGACGTACGACCTTAAAACTTTGGAAGATATCTGCGAGTAAGTTATTTTAGCAAACATAGACAAACTCTCCCACAAGAAGATGTATGTGAAAAGGACGATTTTTTCCCTATGACACCCCTGTTTTTAACTCCATTCATTGTCATTAATGTTTATTGTTTTAAAAAGCGATGATTAGAATTAGAATAAAACCTAAACATATGATGAAAGTGAATTTATACATGTATAATTCATCTACCTTCACTCTGTCGAATATTTAAATGCAATGTGACGTCGTCCCCCCTGGTCGCAGCGTCGACTGTGTCGTTCGATCCCGTTCACGGCGCCAGCTGTTCGCTCCTCGCTGCTCCAAGTGTGACGTTCTAACCCTTTGGTTAGATGAATACCAGCCTCGTCGTTTTCAACCCGCTTCCAACGCCTGGTAACCAGGGTAACTGCACTGATCTCCGGTCTGCCTACCCACGTTGTGATTAGATCTTAGACAGACGGGATCAAACAGGGATTGGGCCGTATGCAAGCTGAGTCCAACGGGGGTGATAACACACAAGGAAAATAAAAACTCACAAGGTCAAAAAATATTGAAGAAAAAGGTAACAACTTTTTATATCTAATTGCTCGTTACACAAGTTTATTCCTACCTCCCGACCCGTTCTGTGAACTGTGGCACCACGGTTCTACCAAGCAACTTTAAGGCTTTGAGTTGCCTGCTCTCTAGAAATTTGCATTTCGGGGTGTGGTTTGGTTTCAACACTGGGCGCTGATCTCTACCTGTCGTTCATGGCTGATCTCTCTCGCCGTCCGTGGCTGCAACTGATTTCTGTCGGTTGGGGTCTCGCTTTTATTGATGCAGTCAAAACTGGGGTGGGTCTGTCGGCGCCAGGGTTTTCTTGATAATTCTAAATACGTATCCACCCTTCTTATTTCTGGTTAGGGATTTTCCATTTTCGGTAATTCACTTTCACTCCTACTCCCTTACTGTGCCTCTGGGGGCGTATACCCGCTTCCCCGCTCCTTCGTATGTCATGTGACCGCTCTCGGCCAATGGGGTCTTGGTCGGGCATCTTTCCTCCTCCCTCGCACGTCACGTGACCGCTCTCGGCCAATGGGGTCCTGGTCGGGTGTCTTTCCTCCTCCTTCATGTATCATGTGACCGCCTTCGGCCAATGAGGCTCTGGTCGGTATCTTTCCTCCTTCCTTCGTGACGTCTTTAATCGGGCGTGGACAATCCGTGGCTTTGTTCTGGGGGAGGAAACACCTTGCTTAAAAAAAACAAAAATTTAAATTGCCCTTTTCGTACGTGACCGAAATGACGCTCTCGGTTTCTTTTACACGCGGTATTTGTCAAACAGTTTATCGCTAATTGGATACGATCTAAGAAAGGGATTTCCCAGACTGGGTGGCGTTTTCGTGAACCAATAAAAATATTTCACTTTTTTCTTTCGCTCGGAGCTTGATAACAAAAATCTTAATTATCTCAAAAAAAAAAAGCATTTTCTAACATCACTGGTGTGGCTCCATTTTCAATTCTGGGATTGTCTGGGTTTTCGTATTAATGGTTTGCCTGTATATCCTTAGATAAACTCCCCACCTGTTACCTATCATATTTTTTTCCATTGTCTCTAAACTTTATTTCTTCAACCAAATTGATAACAAACTTCCATTTTTCGTGGACACGGAAGTAGGTCAGGTGCTTGACCGGGATCTTCCAACATCTGTTATGTATCAATCGAGCGTGTGTTTATTCGCTTATCACCTGGTTTTCGTATTATATTTTTCTTTTTCTTTCTTTTCTTCTTCTTTTCTTTCTTTCTCCCAGATCTTGAATGTAAAGAAAGAATTATTCCTAACCCCAAAATATTTTTCAGCCTTAAATAATTATCAAATGGTTGACAAACCATAAAAAACAAATCATATATTTATGAATATTTCTTTTCAGCTTTCTAACTATGCATGGTGCCACAGCAATGTCAATCGCTATCTACTCTCCTCCTGATTACTCTTTCCTCTTCCCACTCATTATTAATGTTTCTGTTCCTAATTCTTCCACACCCAGTAACCCCTTGTGTCTTAGTAGCTTTATTGCCTTGCCTGGGGCGATACAGATTTAAAAAAAACGGTTATAACATTTCTTTTATGTCTTTTCTCTCAGAAAAATGAATGAAATCAAAGAATGTACCGAAAAAAAGAAGGCATGGATGGAACATTGCAATACGGATCATACCATCTCTTGGGAGATGTTTCAAAAAGGGTTCGGATATTTATGTGGCGAGGGGTACAAAGGTAAGTTTTTTTTTCTATTAAATCTCATTCTTTTTCTTTTTATGTGCCATTTCCTTTCATGACGTAGGCGATCATGGCTCTCCACCTCCCTCTATCCCTTGCAGCTCTCAGCAAGTTCTTTCCCTCTGCCACCTTCCATCAGACCACGTTCTTTCAACTACCTGCTCAAGCATGTCAGGTATGTCACACGCAGCTTCCCTTGTCTCTCTTTCCCTCTATTCGACCCGTGAATATCACATTCTCCAGGCCCTCCTTCCTTATTATGCGTCCCAGGAACTCCAGTTGCCTCTTTTTGATGTTAAGTATAAGCCTTCTCTTTGTTTGGAACCTCTCTAAGACCTCATTGTTTCTCACACGCTTGATCTATGATATCCTCTAGCATCATCTTTGAGGAAATCGTCCAACGTTCGCTTAAGAAGGACAGATGTCGTAACAGTTCGTATTCTTTTCCTCGTGTCGGATCTTTTCAAGCCATCCCAATCGTACGGATCTCAGTGTCGTACTTACTGTCCTCTGTCAAGACGCTTTGTTTTTTTTTTTTAAGCCTTTCACACCAAGCAAGGCGAGAAGCCACTAGGACGCAAGGGGTTACAGAAAATTTGGAGCAAGATCAGATAGGAGTGATAGAGGAAAGGATGAGGCGAAGGATAGTGGATGGATCAAGACAACTGGAGATGTCCATTGATATTACATTTGAATAGTTGGAGATTATAGCTCTCAGGGAAACTGGAATAGGGAAGGGAGTTCCACAGGTGAGAGGTGCGAGATATGAAGCTATTGGAGTAGAAGAGACGGCTACATTTAGTAGTTTCGACAGTGAAAGGGTGACAGCGGGATGTCAGCCTCGTAAGGTGCTTAAACTCATGAAGTCTGGGAACCAGTGAAAGCAGCTCATCGGAGCAATTGCCATGAAAGTATTTATAAAAAAAACAGAGAGAGGCGACGGCGCGTCTGTGAGAGAGCGACTGTCGACGAGATGCCAGAACAGGGCCAATTATATTGCATATCCGCCTCTGGAGCCTATCAAGAACCCCGAGGCAAACGGAAGAGGCTCCAGACCATATATGGCAGCAATACCCCATGCAAGGGCGAATTGTTGATTTGTAGATCTGGAGGATCGATTCCGGGGAGAAAAATTTCCTGGCGCGGACAGGGAGCAAACTTTCCTTGCGGTGGACGAAGCAATTGACTCAATGTATTTGTTCCATCTCAGGTCAGCAATCAACGTGAGACCGAGCAGCCGCAGAGAGGTGCTCTCGAGAAGTTGAGCGTCAGACATTCTAATGGAGGGCAGGGAAGGATCTCTGTGGTGCAACCGTAATTTGTCTATATTTCTGAGATGAGGTTTTGTAAGTATTGTAAATAGTTACATTGTTCGGATTCTTGTCCTCATCTCCGTTGACATATTCACGACGTTTCGACCGCTCCGGCCTTCTTCAGGATCTGCCTATATTTCTGAAATGAGGTATTGTAATTATTTACACTGTTTACAACCTTCGGACTTTTGTACTAATCATTGTTGCCATATTCATCAATGACACATAAACCAGTGGATAAAAGCGTTGGTTGAAGTAATCCACTGACTTAACCCAAAGAATTGTGAGTTCAATACCTGGCTACAGCAGAAGTTAACAAAAGCTTGATGAATTGAGGTAAAGGGAGATAATTGATACTAAGACATTCGGAAGAGGTATGGCACGTTGAACTAGTACAATCTACCCCGATGGACGAAGTAAAGGGTTCAGTTCGAAATTCCAGTCACCGGAAGAAGGCCGGAGCGTGCAACGACTGAAATATCGTGAATATAGCAACAAAGATGTGGACAAAAGTCTGAACAATATAAAAACTATGAATAAGAAATATCTTAAATAAAGTTAAATAAATAAAAACAAATTAATAAAAATTCTCCCAGCATGCAACAGAAACCTTTCCTGTCTGAAAACGGATACTTCGCGCCAAAAATCGCCCAACTTGCTCTCTTTGCATTGGACTCTCAAGGCGGTAAGGCGTCCATCTCCTCTCCTCGGTGTATTGCTTGTGATAAGACGAAGTGACTTTTTTCCTCTATCACATGTAAACTTAATACACACACACCAGTACACAAACATTAATAAAATTATAATGATTTTTATTTACCATTTAACATGCTTTTAGTGTTATTTCCTTGTATGTTTTTTTTTATTCCTGTGAACACGAGGCTACCTCTGTTGATATGATGTGAATTACCCCACAAATTCTATGCTAACTGATTATTTTCTCGTACCTCTCGCTTGTGGAACTCTTTTCAATCTTCTTCCTTCCCAGTCAAAGAATTAAATGCAATGTCAATCGTTATCTTGTTTTCTTAATTCTTGCTTGTTTTTGTTTTTTTTTTGGAGGGGGGGTCTGCGTGTGTACTGTCTCTCTTCAATAATACTTTTATTTTCTGAAGATTTTTTCACGCTCATGCATCTTAGTCGCTTTCTTGTTTTACTGGGGGTGAATTGATTTAAAAACTACTGTGTAACAACAGTGATAATTTCAGTCATGATAATCGTCATATGAATTTTTCATACCGACGACGCCTTACCGAATACTCCTTCTATTTCAGAATATGCCCAAAATGAAAGATGCTTATCAAACACCCGCGTAAATGGGACAGTGAAGCAATGTTCACGCACCTGGGCCCGCCAACTTCATGCTATTATTCTTCAAGATCCACCAAGGATACAGATGTACAAAAGAACTTGCAGGTAAGGCCATGAAATATATGTTTCACTTTGTCGTTTTCGTCAATAAAGAACGAATTAACGTTTACTGACAAACATTTAGGGGTTTCTATTCATAATAGAGTCTGAGATTTCATTAGCAGATTAGCATTCACTAGAACTTCATTTGCATATTAGTATTCATTAAAACTTCAGTTGAAGACTTTATTTGCATATTAGCATTCATTAAAACATCATTTTCAGATTTATTCATTAAAACTTTATTTGCATATTAGCATTCGTTAAAACTTTATTTGCATTTTAGTATTTATTAGACTTTCATTTGCATTAAAACTTAATTTACAGACATTTATTCGCATACTAGCATTCATTAAAGCATCATTTGCAGTATTCATTAATCTGTCATTTGCATATTAACAGACATTAAAACTTCAGTTGAAGTTTAGTATTCATTAGACCTTCATTTGTATATTGCCATTCACTAAAACATCATTTGCAGATTAATATTCATTGGACCTTCATTTGCATATTGGCATTCATTAAAACTTCATTTGAATTTTAGTATTAATTAGACCTTCATTTGCATATAAGTATTCATTAAAACTTAATTTATAGAGCTTTATTCGCATATTAGCATTCATCAAAACATCAATTTCAGATTAATAATCATTATACCATTATTCGCATGTTAGCATTCATTGAAACTTCAGTTACAGATTAATATTCAGTAGACGTTCATTTGCATATTGGCATTCACTAAAACTTCATTTGAAGATTAGTATTTATTGGACCTTCATTTGCATTAATTAAAATTTCATTTGCAGATTAGTATTTATTAGACGTTCATTTGCATATTGGCATTCACTAAAACTTCATTTGGAGATTAGTATTTATTGGACCTTCATTTGCATTAATTAAAACTTCATTTGCAGATTAGTATTCATTAGACGTTCATTTGCATATTGGCATTCACTAAAACTTCATTTGGAGATTAGTATTTATTGGACCTTCATTTGCATTAATTAAAACTTCATTTGCAGATTAGTATTCATTAGACGTTCATTTGCATATTGCATTCACTAAAACATTAAATTTATTGGACCTTCATTTGCATTAATTAAAACTTCATAATTCTGTTTGCATTAAACTACATTTTTACCCATAATTTTCGAAATACAATAGTTTCTATATTTTCTGCCAATGCACTTAATTTTGGTGGGAGCCTAGTCCTAACTGGATTTTACAAGACTATCACAACTGTCTATGACCATCATACACAACCAAAATACATTATAGTACAAAATAAACAGTATACATTAATTAAAAAGGGATGATATAAAAAAAGTGCTTGTAAAATATTTAATATGCACTCGATATATTTAATAAGCATGCCTAAATAACAACACATAATATTCGATATGTTTTCTGATTTAACAGTTTCATATGACCTCATATTGAAAACGAATAAGCAAAAAACAATATTGAATATTTATATTGGCTACATATGTAATACACTCTCTTGTCGGTTGACTTGTGACTTATCGCAACTTTCCTGAATTGCTCATCAAATCCCAAACAACAACAAAAAAAAAAAATACAACTGTGTCCACGTTTCCATTTTTTTTATATTTCTCGCCAATTCACCTTATACATTTATTGTCTACATCTGACAGGATTTTACAAGACTATCGCAACTGTCTACGAAATGGCATTGAACGATTTTGCTCAAAAGATGCTTCTCATGTTATGGTTAAAATGTGGGATCTGTCACTTGGCCCGTTTCGAAAGAAAATGATGTGCAGCAAAGGTGAGTTGCTATTTCACTTATTCGACAGAAGACATGCAAATGACTTAAGTAAAACACTCGCACCACTGCTCAGTATATATATATATATATATATATATATATATATATATATATATATATATAGGGAAAGAACTGGTTAGGTAAATAATCCAAATTCCTTAGTATTTAGTTATTATTTTTAAAAAAAGTGCTCGATCCATAAATATAATTTTTTTTTAAAATATGATTTCAACTCGCGACATAAGAGGTCTCATGTTCAAAACGACCATCGTGAAATTCAATATAATTATTTGAATTAAATTGAATTAAAGTAGCAAGCTCTGTCATCTTCAGAATCAATGCAAAGTTCCAACCACTATATAAATATATATGTTTTATGTTTTGTTAAGTTGGAATCATTTTTAAATAAATAATTATATATATATATATATATATATATATATATATATATATATATATATATGTGTGTGTGTGTATATATATATATATATATATATATATATGTGACCAAGTGGTTAGAACATTCTGTAAATGACACCTGGGTTCGAATCGACATGGTCGATTTGTGATTTTCTGATGTTATAGAAATGGATCAAAGGTCGATGCCAATACCTTTTGAGAGTGTCTGAAAACCATACCCTGTTTTTTTGTCCCAAGCCTTGTGACGAAATCATCGTGCCTGAGGGCATCTGGACATTCAATTTGTTGATCCCCTCTAGATAACGCTCTCTCCCAGAAACTGTAACTGTAAGCATATTTCAGTATAAACCACAGGTGGGCTCAGTTGAGCAAACACAAAATGTGCCCGTGCGAGCTTCTACAATAGGAATTGGCTATCCGCCCTAGTAGACAGGTATCCACGAATACGAGTGGCCAACTATTACATATATATATATATATATATATAACAAAAATACTAATTGGGGGGAGTCCTCGCAACAAAACAAAGACAAAAGTCCATGTAAATAGTCCACACATCAAATATTGAAGAAAGTTTGGTTAGCTCTGTGTTGCCAAATAAATAGGTTTTATTTTCATTCAGTACATTTTTGGTCTGTCTTTAACTTTTTAAAAAAGTTAACTGAAAATATTCCATTTAACAATGGCATGATATTCATATCGTAGCACGCTGATAAATGATTTTTTAATACGACCCGCGCGAATTTAATTTAAGCTGTAAATTGCGTTTCCAGGCTTTTTTACTGTCGCGTTGCTGATATATATATATATATATATATATATATATATATTATATAAATATATGCATGTTTAAAAAATAAGAAGAAAAGTTTTTTTATTTATTTTAATTAAGTTTTTTCATATTGTTTGATAAGTAATCATGTTATCGTTAAAAGACGAAAGGAAAACACCGTACTGATACATGTTTAAATCCACTCTAAGCTTTCGGCTTACACAAGCCATTATCAAAGATGACAATTTCAATAAATCAAACAACACACGGACGAAACAGCAACGATAGTCCGCCCTTGCTGCATGAAAATTTCCAAGTAACGACAAACTCGTATACAGGATATATATTATAAAGATTAAATGGGTTAACATAGCCCTGATGAATGCTGTACACATTCAAATCGATCGAAAGGTAAGTTAAGTGAACCTAATAAACTATATATATACATATATATTAAAGGAGTAATGTATTTTTTATTTATTAATCCGACATTCAATAATATTTTTTTACTGGATACTTGTATTTGAGTAGACGCCCCTTTTACTTATTAAATAATAAATGTATTTCTTTTTGTCGGCTGACCTGAATTTTAAAGAAATCTTATTAAAGAAAATATGTTTTTTTATACTTTTATTTTGATTTTTAATTTCAAATTAATAGATTAAATTTAATATTTTCAATAACCAAAATACTTTATTTTATACTGTATTTCCAAATTAATCTAAATAGAGTGGAAAGCGATTTTAACTGCTTAAAATCGTTGAATTTAAGCATTTTTAATCATCTGTCAGTATAATATAATTCTCTTTTTAAAAAAAAAATATTTGAAAAATAAAATATATTTTATGAAAATTTACTTGAGGAATATTACCTGAGTTAATGCTTAATTAATCTGATTTGAAACAACTATTACATACTTTAAGTTTAAAATTCCACAGAAATGCATTTTTAAAGATGGATGTAACTATTTATTTATGGTGTTGAATAATTGACAGCTTAATTGACAATCAGAAGTTTATCTATTTTGTTTCATGGTGGACATATCTGTAAAGATTTCTTGAAGAATAAACCATGAGCGCCTTTTTTATGTAATTTTAAACTACCCAGTAATCTTAAACATTTAGGAAAATATTCACTGTAATCTAATGTTTTATTGGATTTTAGATACTTTGGCTTTAAATTTACTATAGTTATCACTCATATTTTCTAAACAGTGTCGTGTATGGACGTCTGTATTTATTAAAAAATAACGTTTATACAAACAAAAGAAATTTTAATTTTTTTTAAATGTTGGGTTTCGCTGAATTGTAGTAAGTCTTTTCATTTGTGATTATTAAATATAGTTTTTACGTTGTTTTTATTAATCATTTTCCATCGTGTGAAATTTAGTGAATCATTTAGTAAAGTCATCCTGATGTGAAAAAGCGCCAAAATATATGTAAAGATACTTTGCACTGTGTCTTACATGTTTTTCGTATTTTTGTTGTTTTTTTTAAATTTTTATTTACTTAATCTTTAAGTTGTTTTTTTTTATCTTTTTTGTTTACTTACACCTTTTATGTCATATTGCACTTCACAGTATATATATATATAAGTCTACTTTTCGTCCTTGCTTTGAATATTACTGGCACATCTAGTCTGCTGCTCCTGTTATATATTTAGATATTCTTGATAAAATCTCCAAAAGAATCTGCAAGTCACTTTCCCATAGTCACAACGTAGCTTCCCTCTGCATTTTCGATAAATATTTTCGTGGTAATTGTTCTGGTAGACTCTCCTTTTTTGTACCTAGACTTTATGAATGTGAGCGCTGCACTAGTTTGGCGGTTAGGTCGCATCAATTTAAAATTGAAATGACTCGATGTAACCCTAAGTTCTGTCCTAACATTTTCTTCTATCGCACTTCTCGCTTGTGGAACTCCCTTCCGGCTTCTTTCTTTCCAGATTCTTGCTTTCTAGATTAGTCGGGTCGAGGCGGTGGTGGTGGTGGGGGGATGGGGGGGCGATGAGAACCTTGTTCCTCCACTGCCGACAATGTGTGTCTATTAAAAGCTTTTGTTATTGTATATAGCATTTCTGAATGAGGGACTAAATCCGACAGCAAGGCGTCTGATCACGAGTTTTTGACAAGCATGGAACCACCTCTTGATATCCGTTGCCTCCCAGGTCTACCTTGACCCGGGGTGGTAGCACCCATTAGGATCCCAGCTATGGGCAAATACTGAACCCCGAAACAGGGGCCAAAAACATAATGAATATATTTTAATATATTTTGATAGTAATAATACCAATAATATATTTTCAATATAAAAATATTTTCAGTAATACATTTTTTAATAAAACGTATTACTAAATCTTCAAAGTAAATTAAATTTCGGCATTAAATGACCCATAAGGTGTTGACATGCCGTTAACCAATCTGGCATTGGGATTAATATTGTTATTTTAAAGTCCGTGCTTTAACGAATTGTCATGAAGAGGACTTACTGATATAACATATATATGATTTGACACAAAATAATATTTAAAATGTTTCAAACAAGGGTCAGAGAATCTGTTGCTCACAGAGGGGATATAAGATTCCATACTTTCAAAAGTAGGCGAAGAGAGATAGTTTAAAATACTTAGCATTTTTGGATTGTTGAGAAAAAAATCCTTGAAGTGCTAGTTAAAGGGGGATAATGTAATTGGCGAATAATTTCCCACTGGCAAGAACTTCAACACTGGTCGCGAGAGACTGAAACGAAACCTTTCAAATGACTTCAGACAACATTCCCTGATTAATTTAATTATTCTTCTCATTGTATGTCAAAAAGAATTTCGCATAGTCTCGTTATTTCTTCTTTCTCATCGGCTATTTTCTCTAAAAACAATGTTTCCATTGGTCCAAAGGCAATTTCACATAGGATCGCGAATTACTTTTCTTCTTTTTCCTCAGACTTCCGACTTTGAAAGGAGTGAGTAAAGGGAGCTATAATTATTTTGCTCTCACTAAAAATATTATTTCATTTATTTATGATATGTTGATCTATATCTTTGCGAATTGCACTAAATTTTGACAAATGACAAGTCAAACTACGAGGGAATGTGGTGCACGTGTGGTTAATTTAAGAATTTCATGTTGTTTTTGTTATATATATATATATATATATATATATATATATATATATATATATATATATATATCACCTAACATCAGCTAGTTACTACCCTTCAAAAGTGAAAGTTTAAATTCATTTTTTCATCCTTGGAAGTGAGGTCAGCTAATCCAGGGAAAAAGTAACTCCCTGGGGAAATAAATTATAACTATGGGACCGTAAAGTTGTCTGATTTTCTTTACATTCAATTATATATATATATATATATATATATATATACAAATATAGGATATAAACTGCACAGAAAACATAATATAATCATTGGCAGGAAAAAAACCGAATGTTGAGAACGGAAAACCTGCCAGTGTCTCCGTCACATCATATCTTCCTCTAACGTATACTATATTATCTAGAATCCAGGCTGACGATTAAGCGCGTGACCAGAATTATTTAACTTCCGTCTGAGTGGCATTTGATCCCGAAAGTTCTAATTTGTTTATATATATATATATATATATATATATATATATATATATATATATATATATTATATTCTTACATTCTTATTCCTCCGGCCGTTGAATAAGCAGCATAGATCGTAGATAAAACGACCCGAACGTTGCAATAAAAAGCAACAGAAATAAAATGAAAAATAACAATGAAAATATTTCATCTAAAAAAATTGGACAACTTAAATCTGAGACGTGTATTTACAATACATTTCCATTTCTACGACCAAAGCAATAAATTTAAGAGGAAAGAAAAGGTAGTCAAAAACTCATAATAATCTTCATCTAAAAAATACAGACAACTGAATATACAATTTGTTTTAAAATGCATTAAATTTTTCGATCGTTAAATAAGCAGATTGGTTTGAAAAAATTGTTAACCGTTATTAAAAATCAAATCTCTATTTCTCTCTTTTAAATTTTAATTCAAGGGAAGCCACTACGAGAATATAAAACTGAGTTATTTCCCTTGATGAATAATTTTTTTTATTGCTAAAAAGAATTCTTTTTAGGAAACTGACTAATATAGTTTCTATATTATTTATGAAATACGGGTATCTCTGGAAAATACCCTGAAGACCTATTATTATTATTATTATTATTATTAAACAAAGAGATTGACGTGACTCTTCCAATATTTTTCAATATTTACCGAAAGGCGCGATTTATCAAAAGAAGCAGAAAAGAAACATTAAACATTTTCTTTCTTTTTTTTTTTCTTTTCTTTTCTTTTCTTAAATCTAAGTTCATCATTATTATTGTTATATTTCTTTTGATATCTAATGTGTGCTTATTTCTTTCCGGGTCCCGTCCAGAAACCTAGGGTTAGAAATGCCATCATGACACTTTCCATTGAGCATTAGTGATTTTAAGCCATTCTGATACTCGTTGTCACAGCAAAAAAAAAAAAAATTAAAAAAACAAACACACACCTATTTTAGATAGATAAAGCTCTTCGTGGGTTCGGGCTGACTTATCGAACTCTCAGAACGACATATTTTATTGACTAAGAAACGTATCCCAGCATGCATTTTGTGGTTTTTTGTCTATTAAAAGGGAAGTGGGGAAAACATTTGCGGCCATTCCTACTTACTGGAAATCAATAAAGCTGGTTATCGCTGGAATTGCAAATCTTGTAAGCATCGTCGAAGTATCAGAGATGATTTGTTCTTTGCTAGCAGCAAGTTTGGCACTAAAGCAACTGGTCTGTTATGTCTATTGCTGGAGTCGCATGGAGGAACAGAACGACATCCAACACGAAACACACATGAACAAGACGAGTAAAACGCTTGCCGCTTGAAAACGTTCAGTCAGGATATATGCGAAAGGAAAATTGAAGAAAATGCCACCATTATCCGTTATAATAATCTTTAATTGTAATAAACGTATAGCAGTTTATTCCAACTGGAAATTATTCACGAATATTCCGACCGAATGGCACTTGATCCCGAAAGTTGCGATTGGTTTATTTTTTTCGATTATAACATTTTCATGCAGTTAAAACCAAATTGAAATTAATATCGATCATTGCCCAGAAACTATGGTTATTCACAGGCAAGAAATAAGAGGAAGCTGTGGAGAACCATGATCGCCTACGTCTTGAAGAGAGATGATCAGCACCAAAAACCGCTAGGATATAAACTGCACAGAAAACATAACATAATCATTGGCAGGAAAAAAAACGAATGTTGAGAACGGAAAACCTTCCAGTGTCTCCGTCACATCATATCTTCCTCTATCGTATACTATATTATCTAGAATCCAGGCTGACCAGAATTATTTAACTTCTGGCTGATGGCATTTGATCCCGAAAGTTCTAATTTGTTTATTTAGGCATTTTATTTCCTTTTTCCTACATTTGGACAGATTGTGGTTTCATTGACTATTTTACATAGAATGACGAGAAAGTCCGCGGGCAAAAGTCGAACACTAGTTTTTGAAATATTTGGGGGGATCCAAAACCCAACTTGTACAATTTACGGTAAAAACAAGACAAGATATCCATAGACTTGGAGAATGAAATGAGAAAAATCTTCTCCGTTGATTAAATAAAGAGATCAGTTCGAAATTTTCTGATGTTTACACAGATTGACAGGCACCTAATCGAGGTCTTTGCGATAACAACAATGCTGTGAATATACGCTCTTTAGCGCTAGGGGGCGTCGTCATTGATGTTCTGAATTGGAACATAGAGTAGTTTCGGGTGATTCAAACATCATACTCCCCCCTCACCAAGTCGACTAATCAAAACAGATGACAGAAATTTTTCAAGATCAGCGTTCCGTTTCAATATGATCACGTCGGCGACACGTCGGCGATATATATTCATAATAAAAATCTTAGACGGATTTATGAGGCAGGCATAATATCTATATCACGCAGGGTGAATACTAGACCCGGCTTCTTTAATATTTCCCCCTTTTCTACCAAGATTAATGCTTGACAAACGTACATATAAATTTTAGATTAAAATAAAATTCTTTTCATTTTTCATTCAAAATACTCTATTTTAGGAATATGTTTTCACAACATCGCCCACGTGACGCCGACGTGATCATATTGTGAAACGGAACGCTGATCTTATTTTTGCAAATAATCAAACCAATACCAAAGGGAAAAAGGGGTATAAAAAAAAAGAACCAAGAACATGTACGTTAGCCGAAAATAATCGTCTAGCATCCAAGTCCAAGGCCCAAAGAAAAAAAAACCCGATGCGAGTAAGCAAAAAAACTAAATTAAATGCTCAATACAGTAAGTATAGCAGACATAGTCAAACCTAGAGAGCCAGACAAACCTCCCATATATATATATATATATATATATATTTTAAAAACTAGGAAACCATTGATTTTTAATATTAAAAGTCTCTAGAGCCCTTTCAGCCAACATCTCATCAGGAGACAATCGTTGGATTAGCATTACTAGCATTTATCGTAAACCCACCTTTACTGGACTTTATTTGAATTGGCGTTCATTTGCTCTTGCATCAAGGAAAATTAATCTGTTAAAACCTTAGTGTATAGAGCGCTTAAAGTGTGTTCCCCTATTAGATTGGACCGTGAATTTGGGAACATTGGGAGATTTTCCTTAGTAACGGCTATAGGCCCTTATACTACATTATATAAAGAAAATAATGAATTTCATAAAATCCAGGGGCCTTCTAAATGTCCGGTTTATTTGAAGATTCTCTGGATTGGGGATAGTGGTCAGGGCTTAATTAAGCAGGTTAGCAAGTTGGTTCCAGTTGTTTCCCATCAGTTGTTTTTACGTAGCATTTTTCAAACTAGGTCTGCGTTTCCGTCTTTTCGCAAGGATGTATACATCAAATTGAGTAATTTAGTATATGAATTTAATTGCCAGTGTGCTGCTGGTTATGTGGGCGTACAACCTTGCAGAGAAACTAGAATTAATCAGCATGTTCCTTCAAAATACGACTTGGTAAGATAGATAGAATATGCTATCTTCCCCCATGAATATGGAATCGGATTGCTCAACATTTAGTTGAGAATATAGCCTGCGCCAAGTTATTTAAAAAAAAGTGGTTTAAAATTATTCAAAGCCGATTCCAACAATCATTTAAAGATTTTGGAACATAGGATTAAGGGAAACCTTCTCTCTGCCGGCAAAAGAATTTATAAGGTCTAAATCTGTTGGGGATATTTTAAACTGTCCCTCGCCACGATAACCTTTCCCTCGTTACAAAATATATACTTGTTTTGTTATTTTAGTGGCTCTTCAATATCGCTAAATTTCGCTAAAACGATTGTCGCCTGATGGGTTGGCTGAAAGTAAAAGACTTTTAATATTAAAATCAATAGTTTCTAGTTTTTAAAACTATTTATAAAACAAGCATTTATATATATATATATATATATATATATATATATATATATAAGCTAAAACAAACCTACTAAGCCAAACAAACCTACCAAGGTTTCACTTGGATGAGTTTGTCTGGCTCTAGGTTTAGCTATATATATATATATATATATATATATATAGAATTAAACTCTATATACGTTTATATATATATATATATATATTTAAACCTAGAGAGCCAGACAATCCTACCAAGGTTTCACCTAAGCGGATCTTCAGGTAAGGCTGGCTAAAAAGGTAACAAAAGAAAGAACGGAATGCTTATAGTCTATAAACAAAAAATCATAACCACGTGATCAAAAAAAGGTGGGGAAGAAAACTCAAACAACGTGGGGTGGGGGTAAAACATTTATTGAAATCGAGGTAAAACAACAACAACAAAAACAAACCAAACCAAACGGGATGAGGAGACCTAGTCTAACAACGAACGTTTTCTATGTCTACATTTACTTAGGATTTCAGTTTTGTATAAAGCTATAGCTAATTTTTCCTCTAGACATAGTTGACAAAATTTATTTTTGTATCTTTTTATATATATATATATATATATATATATATATATATATATATGTTAAAATTCCCTGCCGTGCGACGATAGTAAGACTCATGTAAAATCAGGCAGATTTTGATCCTGGCTTGAAGCAATCGGACGTTTAGCCACACTGCTAGCAATCTGTGAAGATTGTAGTAAAGCCTTTCATTTTTTATTTTTAATAGCACCGTTCTGTCAGTAGCAATTATACGGACACACACACACACACACACACACACACACACACACATATATATATATATATATATATATATATATATATATATATATATATGTTGTTCTGTCTTGTGTCGTTATCGCGGAGTTATCCTTCGATTCCCCTAAACAGCAGTTCATGGGAAGAATCGCCTTAATTTAATAAATGATGAGGTTCATTGTATTAAACTATAGCTAATTTTTACTCTAGACATAGTTGACAAATTTTGTTACCTGCTCTCTATTTTGTTACCTGCTCTAAGTAACTATATATATATATATATATATATATACGGATGAAGCAAAGTCGCCCGAAATGTCACAGCTTCCCTTCCTCTTAACCTTGCCTTTGCCAGCCAATGCAGCATCATTGCACCAAACTTGATCCAAGATCGTTGGTAGCCTAAACTCTCTTTCTTTTGCAGAGGCACTGATGTCTGGAACTGAAAATGCTATTCTGGCAGGGGCGCTGTCTTTCATATTCGTCCTTACTGTTGCCCTTTGTTTCCTCCGCAGGCGCTTGCCCGGTTCTGTCAGCTACAAAAGACCCTGTATGCCGTGGAGATAGTTTTCCAAATGACAAATATATTCATCAAGCTGTTTCCAAACGGATTTACCCATGGCCAACAGATTTCGCCTTTTATTACATGTATTATTTCCATTATTCAGACTGTTATCCTCATCTTCATTGCCATATTCACAACGTTTCGGTCGTTGTTCGCCCCGGCCTTCTTCAGACAATTGGAATTTTCAAACCGAACCCTTTATTTTATCCACCAGGGTAGATTGTTCTAGTTCCACGTGCCATGCCTCTTCCGGATGTCCCAGTTATCTCCCTTTAACTCAACTCTTAAAGATTTTGGTTCACCACTACTATGGCCTGGTATTGAACTCACAATTCTTTGGGTCTAGACACTGGATCTAACCAACGTCTTTAGCCACTGGGCCATGTATTCTTATTGACATATGTGACTAGACCCAAAGAGCTGTGAGTTCAGTACCAGACTACAGCAGTGGTGAACCAAAAACTTTGAGCGTTGATTTAAACGGAAATTACTGAGACATCCAGAAATAGTATGGCACGTGAAACTCTAGTTCCACTACCACTAAAATCTACCCCGGTAGAGGAAAAAAACAGGTCGGTTCGAAATTCCAGTTTCCTGAAGAAGGACGGAGCGTACAATGGCCTAAACGTTGTGAATATGGCTATGAAGATGAGCATCACTGTTCGAATAATGTAAATA